AGAAAGAAATTGTTTACTGATATGAAATAAATACTGACAAAAAGAATAAGTGTGGAGAGGCTTGCTTAAAATATTCTTTTGAATGCCTAACAAACTAAGCTCAGAAGATAAAGTGGAAACTGTTTTACTGTGAAAATATTTTAATATTTGATTATGTTGCAGAATTATATTTAAAATCCAAATTAAACAAAATAATTTTTTTTTACATCCTTATTGGTGGCCACAACCTTAACAGCATAAGGTATACAGATGACACAGTGCTGATAGCAGACAGGGTAAAAACCTGCAAAATCTTCTACAGAAGTTAGTGAAAGAAAGGAAGAAGAAAGGATTAACATCAACTGAAAGAAGACAAAATACATGGTTGTTAGTAAAAGGATGAGTCCAAAGTGTGAATTGCAAATCAAAGATACCAAAATCAAACAAGGGCAGAAATTTAAATATCTGGGAAGTGTTTTAACAGACGATGGAAAGTGCGACACTGAAATCCGAAGATTCAGATAACCAAGGAAGCATTCCAAAAGCTAAGCAGAGTATTAAGAAAGAGACAAAAATTCACTAGAAACAAGGAAAAGAGTACTAAACTGTTACATGATATTTGTCTTCCTGTATGGCAGTGAGCGCTGAATGATCTCCTCAAAGATGATGAGGAGACTTGGAACAACAGAAATGTGGTTCTACAGAAGGATGCTGAGGATTACATGGACTGAAAATGTAAGCGACGACACAGTTTTGAAGAAAGTGGAAACAAAAAGGAAACTAATACTTAACATCAGGATGAAACAGTTAAGTTTCTAGGGCAAATAATGATGAAAGAGGGCTTGGAAAATCAGATACTCACAGGACAGAGGACCAGAGGGATAGAGGAAAACAATGCATAACATAGTGAGCTTGAGTAAATAGAAGGCAGAACAGGGCTCAGAAGAAATAACAAAATGACAATGTTTATTAAGAGCTGAAAGGGACAGGAAGTTGTGGAGCACCATGATCACCTATGTCCTGAGGGCACTTGGTTCATAAAGAACAAAAGAATTCCTGTTGAAGAAACATTTTCTTAATAAGAAAAACAACTTTCACATTGTGTTTTTTGTTTTATTTTAGTAATAATCCAAATGATGCATGTCATGAACCCACTTCTCCCTGTGCTTTATCCTTATGCCATTCATTATCTAGTCAAATTAGCCCAAAAGTTAGGATAATATGGGGATTTTCTCTGTATAAAAAATATCAATTAATTAACTCATTCTTATTGTGTCACGTCTCTTTAGCATGTTGGCAATCGTGGCTCTCCACAATTTCCTGCTTGCTGTAGCTCTTAGAAAAGTTTGTCATTTTGCTATCTCTCTTAAACACTGTTCCTCAATCCATTTATACAAGCTTGTTCAGTAGGTTATGAGCTGTTTTCCTTTATCTCTCTTCTGTTCAATATATCATGTGAGTGTCTAAGTTTCAAAGCCTTCTTTCCTCATTATGTGCTGCAGAAATTTCAACTCTCTCTTTCTGATATATGTGTCTTTTTTTGTTTCTATTTTCTCAAAATCTTTGTCATTGCTCACACGTTCAGTCCATGGTATTCTCAGCATCCTTCTGTAGAATTTTCTTTAATCTGTGAAGAGATTGTCTAGTATAAAGACACTTACTCAGTGAGAAATTGAAGCAGAAAGAACTTGTTTATTTACAATAATTAATGTAAAAAGAATAAGCATGCAGAGGCTTGATCAAAATATTTTTTTGAGTACCTAATAAAATTAAGCTAAGGAGAGAAAAATATACATTAAGAAGAGGGAATTTACATTAGTTGCTAAAGTTTGCAAAATACTTGGCAGAGGGTGACAGAAAAGTTCTAGAGGTGTTGTTAATGTTCTGATCTGTTTGGTGTAGATCGGTTAGTGCAGTAGCTGAAGCATCTATTGTTAAATGGAAGTAATATCAAATGAATGTCATTATAGTAAACTTGTAGAAGTTGGTAGAGCCTTATAGAATTATTGCTGCAATGACTGAGTTGTCATATATAATTGAAGAAAACTTGGTCTGCTGGAGGGTAATTTCACATGGCCAAAATTTTCTGTGTTACCTGAAGACATTTGCTGGTTATAGTATTTGGTGTCTAGCATCCTCTTCATTTCTCTGCTGAAATGTTAACTGATTTGCTGGCTCCATTTGTTAGAGTTGTGTCATGAACGAATAGTGATTTTACTCTGCTGGCCATTTTCCTTATATTCCTGCTGGTAGGATCCCAAAGCTACTTTCCAATTCAAATTCTGTTCTTCTGATTGGTTGAAAATAATCTAGAGGATCATTTTTTTTCCCTCAGAACTTTCCTTTTTTTATTAGCCTGAACCAGACACAGTGTCATCATAATCAGGCACAGAAACAAGACTTATCAAAAAAAATCTCATCCATACACCTCATTGGTTGGACAGGTTTTTGTTCTCAGTAGTGTTAAGGAGGAAAAGATTCTTATTATTTTTTGCATAAAATTTTATAACTTTATACTGAAATATTAGCTGCTACCAAAGAGAAGTTTTTTTTGTTTTTTTTTCAAATATTTAAATATTTTCTCTTAATTAAATACATATCATTAAAAACAATAGAGAAAACTGCTTAATTAATTTATTGCTAAAATGATGATTGGAGACTGATTAAAAATTAACCAAAATTGTTTTAATCATGCCAAGTGTTAATAAATTTTTTTCATCAATTTAAAAACTGAGTCTTTAATTTAATTGGCTTCATCTTTCAATTTCAAATTCAATTTTTAATGCAAAATTTCTGATAATTTTCTGATTTCATGTTCATTGATTTTTAATCAATTTTTAGAATTATTTTTGTAAGATGCTTTCCTGAGAATACACTAGATTGATTTGTATTTCTTTTAATACAAAAAAAGAAAGAAACTTTAAATCTCAGATTTCGTTTTCATAACCAACTGAGCTTGAAGAATTGATTTTGTACAAAGGGCAGGATTTGCGAATGCAACACATTGTTACAATACAAACCACGACAGAAGTAAAAAGCGACAAGAATGTAAAAAGAACAAAGATTCTTCTTTTAAATTAATTATTTTCTTTTTCTTTTAAGCTTTTATGAAATTTCAAACCCTAAAATGAAAAGAAATGTATTTGTATAATTTGTCTTTGTGAAGGCATTTCTCTTGTGGAGAATGTCACACAGCATGCAACATTCAATACACGAAAAATACAAGATCAACCAAATAATCACATCACCAGGAGCAAATCCCTCTTAAAATACAATCTACTGACAAACCGAGTGTTCATTTAAAACAAAAAAATCATGCTAGGAAAATGAAAAAAGATGTTGTTTAAGGGTCACAGAGTGGAGAATTATCCATCACCCACAGGGCAGTGTAATTGCTTTTGAACTCTGTCAAGGCTGTACAGTAAAGACTGGGAAACACCAGCTTAGAACAGCACAACTCAATTCTTGGTTTCATCTGGAAATCAAAAAAGATGTTGTTTAAGATGGAATAAGAGTCACAATGTGGAGAATAATCCATCACCCTCAAGGACACACAATCGTTTTTGAACTCTGTCTAGACTGTACAGGGAGGTCTGGCAGCACCAGATCAGAACAACAATACTCAATTCTTGGTCTGATCTGACTCTTGTAAAGATAGAGCTTGTCAACTGTAGTTTGGTGTTCACTGGAGCACTACAAGGACCCAACCATACTTATACAGTTAGACATCATTTTATTCAAAGGTAGACGTTTAATGAAGAACATTGTTGTCAGGTAGTGGGTAGAAGGAAGTAAGAAATGTATATTATGGAGATATCTATCCTACAATATTGGTTGACCCTGCACTTGAATATTATAAGTGAAGTGGGGAAGGAGGAAGTAAGAAATGCATATTATTTGAAGATGTAGAATAGATATCAGTTGACCCTGATAGACCAAGATTGCAGTTGTCAGGGAAGCACCCTCTTGGGATAGATGGCAAAAATTGAACAAAGAAACATGAATTTTCTTCAGGAATAATGTTATTGGCCAGTTTTTGTTCCAAATCACTACATTCAAAATAGGCCTTGAAACAATGAAAATCAAAGCCAGATTTGTGCTGAAATGATTATTTCATAATTCAACAGATTAAGGAACCATTGATTTGATAAGATTGCCAGATATAGAGTCACAAAAGTATCACAAGTGAAGATCTGGTAATTTGGAATATTAAAATAAGTTGAGGATATACATTCAGATGGAAATAGAGAAATGAAAGCTTAAAACATCAAAGAAGGTGGTTTGTTTTGCAGTGACACAAAAATGTTATTCTGAATGATATCAAAATATTTTTTTGAAGATGCCAGTAATAATTCTGTAAGATAATACAAGCATATTTTTTCTTAATATGGTTGCCTTGAGTTTTTCTCTTCATCTGTGTGGAAACTGCCAAGTATTCAATGGCAAAAAGGAGGATTGATATTACATAGCATTTCAGCACTCATGTCCTGAGAACATAAAATTTTACAAATATTCTTTCCTCATTATGAAATTTGGATTGTCTCTTTCTGATTCTATGCATAATTGTCTTTTTCATTCACATTTTCCTTAAAACTTCCGCATTGCTGACATACTCTCTTCATAGTTTTCTCTGTATCCTTCCTTAGAACCATACCTCTGTTGCTTTAAGATGTCTTTTCCTTTGTAAGGAAAATGTCAAGCATTCATTGCCATATTAGAAAATTGATTTTACATAGTAGATCAGCATACTTTTCTTTGTTTGTGTCTACTGTAGTTTTCCTGTTTCTTAATACTTTGTTTAGCTTTGAAAAGGCACCTTTTACTATTCCAATGTGACTTTTCTTTCGAATTCTATCTCCACTTTGTCTCTATTTTATTTAAAATTCTTGGTGTAAATACATAATGGCACTTCACCATGGAATATAGGCTAATCAACAAGTGGTATACATTATCAGTGTCATGTGCTTGATTCTCATTGGGTAGTCCATAATAATGGCCTTGTGTCAAACTATACAAAAAGGCTAAGCATGACACAAAGGCAAATGAGAATCAAGTAAAATGTAGCTCTGATATGAAGCAAACAGGGCCAAAAGAAGTGAATAAAATGAATGACCAACACTAAAGCAAGAGAAAATGCAGTAGCCTTTTATTATAGTGGAAATATATTGACTGACCAATTTTGGGTGGATTTAATTGGACCAGATGGCCTCGGATCAAACCATTTCATACGAGGCTCTCTTGGTTTCTGGTTTATATTTGGTTGATCCAATAAATAAGAATACGGAAGCAATGATATTCCCAAGCAGGACATGGCTGATTACTAAGACCATAAAAGTGTCATATAAGTAACTTAATTTAGTGCAAGTGTCTAATTACAAGTCAGATTCATGGGCAGCAAGGTCAATACATATCAAGATGAAAGTATATAAACAAATATATATATGTGTGTATGTGTGTGTAGATAGATAGTAACAAAGACAGCAGTTGAGAGCAAAGAATAAAAGAAAGGGGGGAAAAAGAAAATACTAGTAGCAAGTAATATATATACATATATATAAGTAAATAGATAAGTCTATGATTATTTATCACAAGGTTGAAACATATATACATCAATTTACCAATATACATATTTCTGTTTTTTTCTCTCACTGACTCGCTCCCTCTGTTGTCACAGTTTCTGCACTGCTCTCTTTTCTTCACACTGTCTATCTCCCCCTCTCTCTCTCTCTCTCTATATATATATATATATATATATATATATATATATATATATATATATGATGAAAAAATACAGTATGCTATGAGATGGGTAAAAGATACAGCATATGTAAATATAAAAGTGGACACTGAGGTCAATACCAAGTGGCAACAGATTGTTTCATGCTTGAACTCATATGACTTTATGACACATGGACTGAAGATTGCATTCAATCTGTCAAGATAGAAACACATTGAAATTGATAGATATGTATGTATATATATATATAGATATATATATATATATAGATATATATATAGATATAGATATATATATAGATATAGATATAGATATAGATATAGAGATAGATAGATAGATAGATAGATAGATAGATACATAGATAGATAGATAGATACATAGATAGATAGATACATAGGTAGATAGATACATAGATAGATAGATAGATAGATAGATAGATACATAGATAGATACATAGATAGATACATAGATAGATACATAGATAGATAGATACATAGATAGATAGATAGATAGATATGAACACGTTCATCATAGATAGATATGAACAGGTTCATGATAAATAAATAATGAACATAGATAGATAGATAGATAGATAGATAGATAGATATGAAGAAACCGCAATAGATAGATAGATAGATAGATAGATAGATAGATAGATAGATAGATAGATAGATAGATAGATAGATAAAATGAAAAGAATGGGATGGATACATATGAACAGACACACACACACACACACATATATATATATATATATATATATATATATATATATATATATATATATATATATATATATATATTCTATATATATATTTACAGAGAGAGTGATACATAGCTAGATATGAACAAGTTTGTGAGAGATATGAACAGGTTTTAGATAGAAAGATAGAAGGTGTGATGGGTAAATTGTTGACATATTTTTAATTTCGGACATCCACATTGTTTGTTTTTGATTTTGTCAATTGCACAGTAGTGTAAGATCAGTTAGGACCCATCTGAGAGAAAAATAAAAGCACCATGATGCAATTCATCCTGCCAGAAATTTGGATATGACATACTGTACTGCTTGGCATTCGCCCTGGAATATGAACATTTCAGTGTTTGGCTGTCAATCTGAAGAGAGTGAAAGGATTCAGAAAGATGATTCTAATTGTGTACAGTAGCTCAGAAAACTCACTCTGATCATTCTGATAAGAAAAGAACTGCCAAATTTGATAGTGAGGAGTCTTAGACTCGATATGGAGGCCTACATCAAGTGCTTTGTGGAGGTAGTGCTACCCTGGGTCAAGAGAGTGGTTGCTAGAAGACCCTATGACTGGCAACAGGGCTCTGCACCATGCTACACAAGCAAGAGAACCCAGTCATGTCTGTTAAACAATTTCTGCGATCACATTGCCCCTTATATCTGGCAACCTAACTCCTTGGTCATTATGTGTGGGGTGCAGTTGAGCGAGAGACAAACAAAATTCCTTGTAACACCAAAGATGAACTGAAGGCAAGGATTCTGGCAGCATTTATCAACTTAAACAAGGTGACCATGCAAAAGAGTTACAAGAGATTCCAGAATTGTCAGGAGGCCATGGTTGAGGCCAGTGGCAATTTTACTGAATAAATTTACTTTTTAGTATTTCAAGACATTTTTGTGTAATTTTGGTAAATGTATCAATTAAAATAAGACGTCAGTGTTATTTTTATTTTTGCGTAATTTAAAAGACTCTTTATCCAGACACATAATGAACAGAATGAGATAGATAGATAGGATTAACCAGACAGATAGATAAAAACACATTGAGATTAAGAAAAAAACACATTGAAATTAATAGATAGATTGATATGAACAGATTCTAACAAATGAACAGAATGAAATAGATAGATAGATAGATAGATAGATAGATAGATAGATAGATGGAAACACATTGAGATTAAGAAAAAGATTGATAGACAGGAATAAGTTGAGATAAAAAAGCACTTAGATAAATAGATAGACTTAAAATCAAACAAAGAGAGATAGCTAACGTGATAGATAGATAGATAGATAGATAGATAGATAGATAGATAGATAGATAGATAGATAGATAGGAAGAAATAAAAATGCTGGGCAGATAAATAAATTTAAATAGACTGCTGGATATAGATATGAAGAAGCTAAAACCACCTGACAAATGAACTGTGACAGATATGATCTAAATGTGATAACAACAGTGTGTGATTGAAACCTATGATGGCACAGAAGTTGATAGACATAAACACAATGAAATAGTAATAAATTGTGAGACCTGGAATTGAAATTGATTGAGACAAAACAGACAAATTGTGGAAACAAGATAAAGAAATTTCATCAGAGAGAAACAAATAGTCAAAGAATATCAATATGTGTAGAGGATCTCTAGTAAATGATTGGCCACTAACCAAAAGTCTATCTGATTTGAGAAGAAAGAACGCAATATGGTAATTCCATAATAGACATCTATCTTCATAAAATAATAATTAACGGTCACATAGAGACCATCAAACAAAAAGATGCAAATGAGGACTTGCAAATGGTAACTGAATAACATGCATTCATCTTAATAGAAAAATCATTAGTAACACTGAAAAAAAAACAATAATTGCATAAAAAATTATTTATAGCTGCATTACACTGGAACTATCCTTTCAGGTTCAACCCTAAAATAAAAACAATATATAATTAAACGGCAGATAACTTCAAACTCAACATGAGTTATGTCCCTTGATGAATTTCTAATCTCCAAGCATTAGAGAGTTCTTGAACATGGTGAACTGAACAATCACACAATCATGTGTGTAATTTTAATCCATGTTGAATCCAAATAAGTCAATCTCTATCTATTAATAAATTTGATTTTGTCAATTTTTAATCAACCCTGACTTGGCATCTCAGCTTCAGTCACTTTCTCATCGATGTGGTGTGGCTTCCCTCTGTCTTTTCTACAAATATTTTCATGGCAATTGCACTGATGAGTTTTTTCCCTGGTGCCCTGACTACATGAATTTAGGCATCCTACTAGATTGGCATCTAGGCCACACCCATTTACTGTTAAAATAGCTAAATGCAACCACCACTTCTACTCCAACAGTTTCCTTTCTGATACTACCCACCTGTGGAACTCTATTCTGTTTACTTTCTTCCCTGATAACTACCATCTTCAAAAAATTAAATACAGTGTCAATTGTCATCTTCTATCTTCTGGAATCCTGTTCATCTTTTTCTCAATCTACCATATACTCAGTCTTTTCTCTCACTTTCACTCCCTGTAAACCCCTACATACTAGTGGCACTCCTACCTTGCTTGGGGTGAAATGATTAAATACTATTTAAACAGTGCCAAATTATCCTCATTCCCTTCATATTCCATTAGTAAGAAAGAAGTTCCACTCAGACAGCTTCTTCCTGAGAGCTGCTACTTTGCAGAACCAACTCCCAAGAGCATATATTCCCAACCACTACAATTTTAAACTCCTCAGATCTTAAGTTATCTATCCCACATATCCTTATAATCTAGACTTCTTACCTCTTCTTCTTATGTCCACCAAGCAAACTCATTCAGTAATGTTCTACCTTGAGTAACTCTTGGGCCTTGCATTGGGTGGTTAATAATTAAAAAAAATAATTAAAAATCAAAACAATTATTAATTTATAACATGCACATCAAACTCAAGGCCATGAAAGTCTGAAAATAAAAAGATTTCTTTTTATGTCTGAAAATAAAGAGATTTCTTGTGTATAATATTACACATTATTTGTTTTTTCATATTGACTGAAAAGAATATATATATATATATATATATATATATATATATGACCACTAATATTATCTATATATATATATATATATATATATATATATATATATATATATATGTATGTATTATGAAATGGTGTAAGTCCAACATTTATCTTAATATACTTATTGGTATACATTATTTATATAGATACAAATACAAGTAAATGCTCTGTTTATAATAAACAGTATTAACAACATTTACCAACCTGAATGTCTGACAGTTTTCTTTGAAAATATGCATCCCTTGTTAACGTTAAGATACACTTCAAGCAGATATGAATGTTCAAGGGAAATCATGGGAAATTTGTAGTTTAAAAGCAGTAATTCAACCTTGCTAACCATTCACGATAATAAAAATGAAAAGAACGCTGTTTCAATTTTTACTTAAAAAAATCTTTCATTTTTGTTTAGTCCAAGTAATTTTACTTTTTTAAAATAATAGACATGTTGTTTAAATTGATCTAAAAAAGGAGGGGTCATTTATGATTAGATACCTCGATATTAACTGCTATGTTTCTTGTGACTAATTGATTATGAACTATGATCTGTGGTAAATATTAACCACGTGTACTCTGTCGTTCGTGACTCTCGCCAAATGAAATGTAGGGCTAAAAATGTCAGGCTATATGACGGTTCCTTGTAGGATAAAGTTTTGATTCTTATTGGAGAACGCATACTTTCTATGAAATTTCTTGAACATCCAGGCTGGTAAATGTTGTTTTATACTGCATATTATAAATAGAGCCTTTTCTTAAATATTTGCATCTATATAAATAACATATAACAATAAATATATAAAAAATATATATGTGTGTGTATTTGGGCAGCAATCCCCCTTTTATACAAGTTTCCTTAAAGATGACTAACAATGTACTACAATTAAGCAAGTGTTTATTTTATATATATATATATATATATATATATATATATATATATATATATATATGTTCAAACATATATGTAGTATCATAGAATTTATATACAGTTTTGAAAATGAACAAATGCATGCTTTTTAAAAAAGTTTTCTGTCTAACATTTTTTCCGAAACATTTGTTGGAAAAACAATAAACAAAATGGCAAAGTTGAAAAAAGTAAACACAGGTAGGGTCGGGTAAATAAGGAGCTATGACTGAAATAAATTTATTGCTAAAAACAAAAATACTGGTATATATAAGCTCCTAGTGAGTACAAAACTTAAAAAAATTTACTCGTGACCCACCCATGAGAAACAGAACAAAGCAAATTCTCCTTCTGACTGCATAAAGTCAGAAATGAAGCTTGATGTAAACAGATTCTAAAAATTGTAAATGTCTAACTGATTGAACCCTCCCTTTGCAGTACCCTGAATGGTCCATCAACTTATTTGGAAGCGCAACCTGAGTTGTTAATCAAATGAAGTCCAAACACAGATTAACAAACTGAGTCAAGCAATTATATATATATATATATATATTATGTATATATAATTTGATAAATATTTGTTAAAATGAGATGTCAATGTTATTTTCTTTTTTGCATGATTTATATGAAAAATTATCCATTCCCACTGTACATACATATATGGTGATGATTGCAAGGGCATGAAACCCAGGGTCACAAACTCACATCAATACAACTATGTATGTGTATATATATATATATATATATATATATATATATATAGGGTAAAAAGTGAATTTGTTAGAAGGTCCATAAAAAATATTGTATAGATAAAATATGGAAAAACACCTAATGTTTCTGTGTATTTATGTCTAATATTTATAATGCATGTATATTTACAGATAATTATTAAAATTAAAATTGTTTTACTTACATGTGGGGTTTCAGAAAAAATTGTTTTACTTTAACCGTTTTCATTTTAGCTCTTCAAAAAGTTTGTAAATGTTTATGTTCGACAACAATGG